GCTCATTCCTGGCGCCTGAATGCTTCCGGCTCAAGAGCCGCTATGCCCGACTAGCGTGCAGTGCGCACGCCCGGGAAGCCATGGATGATCTGGATTTCGACCTTCTTCAGGCGAAGGTCTTGGGCGCAGAAAGCAGTCGGCTGATAGCTCAAGGCCAGGCTTTTCTCCGTCAGGAGGGGGTCAGCAGCGGGTCAACTTGCAAAGCTTGGCTGGCTTAGTGCTGCTTGTGTTGTTGACGTTTGCCTTGTTGGTTGGACGATCAACGTCAAGGCAAACAGATTTCCTCTTTCTTTCTCAGTTTATTTCTTGTTCTTCTTATTCATGCTCTTTCTTTCTTTCTTTCTTTCTTTCTTTCTTTCTTTCTTTCTTTCTTTCTTTCTTTCTTTCTTTCTTTCTTTCTCTCTCTCTCTCTCTCTCTCCTCTCTTCCGTTTTCTTTGTTCTGCGTTCTCCGTTCTCTGTTCTCAGTTCTTTGTTCTCTGTGCTCTTTCTTTTCCGTTCTCTCCCAAGGCGGCTGCTGGGGGCTGTTGAATAGTAATCTTGGGTTTGTGCTTCCGGGGGCACATGCCTACCTGACCTTGCGAAAGTGCTGCACGTGTCACACAAACTAGATTCGCGTGCCAAATGGCCCGGCTCCGAATGCGCTCCGAGCCTCCGGCCAAGCGTCGCGACACGAGGGCTACACTTTTTATTCCCTCGCCACGCGCGCGCAGAATGTTCTCATTTGTGCTTGTTCCATCAGAGAGCTGGCCTTCAATTTTTGTGTCCGTACCACGAAAGTTCCTTTTGGCTTCCTTTGGCCACAGTTCCTTTTTTGAAGCCCAGATTTAGTCTAAGTTGTTTGCATGCCTCCAGTTTTTTTTTTTTGGGCCTGAAGGCTCCCAAACAAAGCGCAGCGCGGCGCAGGCCGCACGGGGCTGCCGCCCGCGGGCTGGTCCCCCGCAGCAGCCTCGGCCCGGCTGCTGGGCGACGGCGCCGGGCTGCCCGGCGCCGGCGGAAGCGGCGGCGCCGGCGGCCGGGAGCGCTTCGGGCAGCTGAACGGCAGGCGGGGATCGGTCTCCACCCCCCGGTCCCCCAGGATTCAAATGATTCACTTACATCAGCTCTTTTTTTCTTTTCTCTACAGTCCTTTGTTGCATTCCTTTTTTTCCCCAGATAGCTGAAAGCTATAGGGGTTCTAACTTCTAATATAGAAGGAAAAGTGATTTGCGAGATTGAGGGCCGGGTGCTAGGGGGCATGCAGTTTGGGGTGCTGGTGGAGGTGCTGCTTTGCGAGCTTGACGGCCGGGTGCCAGGGGGCATGCAGCTTGGGGTGCTAGTAGTGGAGGTGCTGTTTTGCGAGAGTGATGGTCGGGTGCTAGGGGGCATGCAGTTTGGGGTGTTGGTGGAGGTGCTGTTTTGCGAGATTGACGGCCGGTGGCATGCAGTTTGGGCTGGCGGAGGTGCTGTTTTGTGAGAGTGATGGCCGGGTGCTAGGGGGCATGCAGTTTGGGGTGTTGGTGGAGGTGCTGTTTTGCGAGAGTGATGGCAGGGTGCTAGGGGGCATGCAGTTTGGGGTGCTGGTGGAGGTGCTGTTTTGCGAGCTTGACGGCCGGGTGCTAGGGGGCATGCAGTTTGGGGTGTTGGTGGAGGTGCTGTTTTGCGAGAGTGATGGCCGGGTGCTAGGGGGCATGCAGTTTGGGGTGTTGGTGGAGGTGCTGTTTTGCGAGAGTGATGGCCGGGTGCTAGGGGGCATGCAGTTTGGGGTGTTGGTGGAGGTGCTGTTTTGCGAGAGTGATGGCAGGGTGCTAGGGGGCATGCTGCTAGTGGAGGTGCTGTTTTGCGAGAGTGATGGCCGGGTGCTAGGGGGCAGGCAGCTTGGCGTGTTGGTGGAGGTGCTGTTTTGCATGGCCGGGTGCTAGGGGGCATGCAGTTTGGGGTGCTCGTGGAGGTGCTGTTTTTCGAGAGTGATGGTGGAGGTGCTGATTGACGGCCGGGTGCCAGGTGTGCAGTGGGTGCTGGTGGAGGTGTTGCTTTGTGAGAGTGATGGCCGGGTGCTAGGGGGCATGCAGTTTGGGGTGCTAGTGGAGGTGCTGTTTTGCGAGAGTTGGCCGGGTGCTAAAGGCATTCAGTTTGGGGTGTTGGTGGAGGTGCTGTTTTGCGAGAGTGTTTGCCTGCTTTGCGAGAGTGATGGCCGGGTGCTAGGGGGCATGCAGTTTCGGGTGTTGGTGGAGGTGCTGTTTTGCGAGATTGACGGCCGGGTGCCAGATGTAGTTCGGGGTGCTGGTGCTGTTTTGCGAGCTTGACGCAGTTCGGGGTGGTGGTGCAACTGCTGTGTTGGGTTGCCGGGGTTCTAACTTCTAATGAAGAAGTGGGATTGTTTTGCAAGATCGACGGTTGGGAGCTAGGGGGCATGCGCTTTGGGGTGCTGGCGCAGGTACAGTTTTGAGGTGCTGTTCGGGCTGGTGACAGTACGTGACGGCAAGGTGCTCGGTGCTCGGGGACCTGTCCAATGCTGGTGCGGGTGCTGCGTTGGGGTGCTGTTGGGGCTGCTGTCGTGAGGTGTTGGTGACGGTGTGGGCGCATATGGACGGCAGGGTGCTAGGGCGGGTGCTGTTTCATGATGCCGTTGAACCGGTTCGGACGTTGTTGCTGCTCTAGTAGTCTAACAGTCGTTTGTCATGGTGCGTGGTTCGTGGCTGGTGTGTCATCATGATGTTGTCACCCGCGTCATGATGCTGCTGTCACTGCGATGCTGCGATGCTGCGTTATGGTTCGTGGGTGTGGTGGCGCCATGATTGCTGCCAACATCAGGATGATGCTGAATTTCACTACGCTGTCGCGAGAAGATTCGTGGCTGTTGTATCATCATGATGCTGCCTTTTCAATTTGACCATTACCATGATGCTGTTCGCATCACCATGATGCTGTCCGCATCATGGTGGCGCTGTCCGCATGATCGTGATGCTGTCCGCATCATCATGATGCTGTCGAACTCATCAGGACGTCGTCTCTGCCTTTTTTCTGCTAGATATGTGGCGCGGAATCGTTCGTTGCTGGATGCTGTCAACATCATCATTTTTGGTGCTGAATTCATTAGGACGCTGTCTTCGTGTCTATTTAGCGCACATGCTGAGTGGCTGTGGTATCATCATGATGCTTTCAACATCATCATGATGCTGTCAACAACATCATGATGCCTCGGGAACCATTATGATGCTGCATAATGGTTTGTAGCCGTGATGTGCTATCTGGGGTCTACGCTGGTGTAATTTTGTTTTCCTTTCTTTTCTAAATAACATGTTTTCTCTTCTGTCCCGAGCTGGGGATTGGATTGCCTTCCTGTCCGGGTGTTTTAGAATGTGCTGCCGTCATTGTTTACTGGCTTGTGCGGCATTTGCAAAAAAGACGTTGCTGGTTCTCATGCGTCGGTGGGCGGGGGGACCCTACGAAGAGGATGTGATTGAAACGCACTGTTGGGCAAACGCTGAAAGCTTTCCGTCTGCCCTCTCTCCAGTCTTTATCTCCCCTCCTCTCCCTCCCTCCCTCCCTCCCTCCCTCCCTCTCTCTTTCTCTGCATTTTGTGGGAGTTCTGCCGCCCACTCCGAGGCTCGCTTTCCTGCTGGATCGGCTGGAGGCGCGGGTGCTGCGCTCAGGCCCGCCGCCCAAGAAGGCCCAGCAATCCGCGCCTGTCCTGCACCTCTACGATGAGGAGGGGAGGGGCAAGGTCGGGGTTGAGGCTGTTTTTTCTTCTTCTTGTCAATCGTTACAAACGACAGTGGTGCGTAGCTTATCCAACAGTCGAGTCAAATTTGGAGGGATATTAGTAGGGTTTGGCTAGGGATGCTAAAGGTAGTAATGGTCCGAAACCTGCTACTGTAGCGGGACTCACGAGCTTTGTGATGTCCATTCAGGGAACAGCACGTGACACCCCACCGCTTTTCGCAGGACCCCATCGAGCTGGCGCCGAGAGGAGCTCAGACGGAGTCCGAGGGGCCCTCGGTGCCTTTTAGGCTGACCGAGGCCAAGCTCTGCCGCGAGCCAATTGGGGACTGCCACTACTTCGGGCGCCTCAATTTGAAGGCCAGAGGGGGTAGGGTTCTCCAGGTTGCGTCTGGTCCAACTGGGCCCGTGAAAAGACAACATCTTCAAATTTGGCTTGTACATTTTGGTTTGCTCAGATTGGAAATCCAACGTTTTGTGCGGTCCGAGTGGTATCCACGAGCTTGTGCGTGCCACATCATGGTGGTTGAAAGGGGCCCAACGGCCCAACAGGCTAGGCAAAGGAAATTGGGGTTTGGGGAAAGACCTTGGAACCTGTTTTGTCAAGGTTCTAGGTAAGTCTTTGATGTTCTTTGCAACAGGTGAGGTTGAGGACTTGTAAAGGAGAAACGAGGAGTCTGGGAAATGGGAAAGCCTGGCTGTGGGTTGGACACGTGTTGAATGGTGGACATGGCAGCACTTACAGGTTCAGAAGTGCCCAACGTGTCCAACCCGGGGGGGGGGGGGGGGAGTCGGGGAAATCTCAGGAGGGAAACGGCCAGGAAAGCAAAACAGCTGGAGAATGCAAGGAAAAGCAAAGGAGGAACAGACAGCAGAGTGGAGAGAAGAAAGGGCAATTTTTGTGCGCATTTGCCATTTGCCGTGGTTCGTACCAACCTTGGCTTCTAACTACTTTCTGTAAAGGGAAGCTGAATTCGAGCATATTCCAGCAAGTGAGTTGTGTTGCGTGTGATTTCCGGTGACCCTCGCTTTAAGATCAACACGGGCAGACATCTCCAGGTGACCAACGTGGCAACCACCACGGTTGCGCTGTTCGCGTCATGAAGCGGATGCAGCGATCGCATGGCCGTAGATGGCCAGCTGCGGACGGGGCCGGGGCGGCGAACAGCAAAAATGTGGCGCCAGGGTTCACAGCTGGCTAACAGCCCTGGGATACGTTTTTCTTGGCGGAGGCAGCCAAATCCGATCTAGGAAACTTCAGGGATTGGAAGTGCTCCCTACGTGTTGCCCATCACATGTGTGCTGTCCTCAAAGGGACAGGGTACTTAGTAAGTGGGTCGTAACCATGGTTATACGGCTCCTAAGTGGCTTATACCTAGGCTTACTGACCACTTCCTAAGTGGGTGCACGCAGCTGGGCGACCCCCTGCTTTCTGGTATGGACCCATCGTGGGCCAGGGGTTCCGGGGTGGTGGTGGGGTGGATGTTCAGCTTCGCGTCCAAGTTCAAATGCGCAGCAAATCCCAACCACCACGGCCTCGCCAGTGTACAACAGCCTGGCTTCTGTTTGTCAATACCGTTCTTTCTGCACCTGTTCTTGGCAGCCGGCTCTTTCCAAGCTTTTGCTCTAAGCTTTGCTGCAAACGAACGACAGGAGTCACGCAGCAATGCGGCGCATGCCGACCATTTCCAGGCTTCCTTGATCTCAAAACTGATGAAATCGCAGAATATTCAATTGAACTGGGGGCCGCGCATCAGCGTGGCGCGTACTAAGTACCCTGCAGATCACCGTGTCTCGGTGTTTCTATCCAACCAACTTTTTTGCAAAGACGACCTAGCGCCACGGCTCAGGCCAGGCCGCGCTTTTGCGGTGACAGTGTGGGCGGGGGCCTGGTGGCTGGGGGGAAGGTGGCGGGGAGGGTCGCGCATTGGCGGGGTCAATGATGTCCATTTGGTTAGTCTGATGAATCTACCCTCCTGGACTCATTCTTGTGGGAACTGATGGCGGCACCGGCAATTTTTGGGCACCGCTTTGAAGCAGATCGAAGCATGCGCAGCAGCTCTCAAAGTGGAATGTGGCACTTGCACCACTGCAGCACCATGTTTGTCAATCAACTCGGTTTCAGATGGTTGCGATGAGATGTTGGAAAAACGTTGCAAGGAGCAGGGCGACTGTGTTCGAACGTTATTCCTAGGCTCAAGGAAATAGCCCCAAACCGATGCAGGACAGCCGCTAGCAAGAGAATCGCAGCGTGTTTGGACCAATGGGTCCGAAGGGGCGGATTTTCACGGTTTTGTTGGCGATGGCCTGTGCAAAGCTCGCATCTGAGGTTAGGATGATATTTTGAGGTCCCTTATTTTGCATCAACCTGACTTAGGCCGTGTCCCCTATTATGTAACAGTCCCTTTGTTGCAAAAAATAATTTAGCGTTGTTTGGTCCAACATTCCATCATCAGCTTGTTGTGCACGCATCGGCTGAGTCTGCACACTCCCAGACCTCGGCACTAAGCGCAAAAGTGCGAAGCTCCATTGTTGTTGAATGGAGACTTCGCGAGACGTTGCAGTCGCGCGCCGCCGTATCTTTGGTTGATAGCCTTAGCCACGGGGCGTGGGCTTCGGAAGCCATGATGTGGAAGGCAGGAGTCGGGGATGCCAGCGCTTGGCTTGGGAGTTGGTTGCTCCATTGCAGGCGGTGCGTGCTTGCAGATGGCATTGACAGAGTGGAGCAGCTGTTTCTTTGTTTCCCTTGCTCCTTGTTACATTTTGGTGCGCTGCTCCCTTGGAGAAAGCGACAAGCCGCTCCATTGAGCCGCGAATCTTCAAGTGCAGAAATCTGTGCTAGAACGGAAGCGATGCCTTGGTAGTGCTGCTTCGCGTGTCCATGCCTGGCTCCAGCAGTTGCTCGCGCAGGGCGGAAGCTCCATCGGTAGGCTGACCGATCTTGTTTTGGTCATTAAAGCCATGTCTTGCGGCAAGGGTTGGCCTGGCCAGATGGTTTGACCCTCCCAAATTGACGCATCCAATGGGGGTGCATGGTTTTGTCTGTCATGGCGCCCCCAAGCTTTGGCTCAATCGAGAAATTGATTTAGCCCCATGCACTTGGCCTGGGTCATGCCGCTTGCCCCAGGCAGTGTGCCAGGCTGGTTCTTGCGGGCCTTGCACCCAAGCAGAATCCCGTGTGTAGCATCCGAAAGGAAGACATGCGCTGGAACCTATTTGGGGTCACCCAGTGCTTGAGGTTTTCAAGCGGCTTTTTCCTTCTTGTCTTTCGCTGGGCGGCCAAAACAGCCTGGTCCACGCCTTTGAGACTCAAACATGCAGGTACTAGAGGGATTCCATGTCTTTTTCTTAGGCGATGCCTGAGAAAGGAACCCAGCCACTCAGAGGATTTTCGACCGACGGATCTGGTGGCTCCAGGCGGCCCTTTCACCGGCCATGCCAGAGCTCGAGACACGAGTGGTGGGCGCCGATGTGCAGAAGGCACCACGTTCGGCACTATGGAAGGGGAGTGGTGCGAAAGTTCTCCCCCCCAAGAAAAGGTAAAGGAGTTTGTCATTTTCCAGATTCTCTTATTTTTTGCAGCCAACGAGATTCGACCCCCAGCATCGAAATTGTTTGTGATTTGTGATGGTTTATCAGCTTGTTTTTCCCTCACATCTGTAGAACAGAGGGCCAGGCTGACACGAAATACCCTGGGTTGTTCAGCGAAGTGATGCGGCGAAACATTGACCGAATCTCCTTCCTGCAGGGTGGCTTCCCCCACCCTGAACTGGACCTGTGAAAGCAAACAACTTTCCCGCACTCTGAACTAGAAGGTGGTCGTTTTGCCATTGGGATCCAATGGAACTTGAGGAAGACCAGAGAAGCCGAGCGACTCAAGCAGCAAACCAACCGGCAGCCCTCTGTGCAGTTCGTTTTCGCTGCTTGCACACGTCCTGGCTTGGTAGATGGCTGTTTTTTCCCTGCATTCAGCGCATGATGGCAAGGGAGCCCCCCTATCTTCCGCCAAAAGTCATGAAAGGCGGACAGGGGGATTCCTCCAAAAGGAAGCAGTTGTCGCACGAATGTTGGAGTCGTTGGGGGGAGGGGACGGAGGGGAACCTACGAGGCGAGGATGAGTTTTTCCCCCCGATCAACATCATCCCTGACGTGAGTCAGGTGGGTCTTGGCTTCGGCGCCGTGCCCCCAAACCCGCTGCTGGTGGAGCGGGTGGTGGCGGATTCCTGGGGCGAGCGGCAAGGCCATTCCGGGGCTTCAAACCAGCTGCAACGGGGAGGCTTCTTCTCTTCTCTCGATGGGATGCCCATTGATTTTTTCACGCTGGCAGTCGGGACACCTCGGAAATCAGAACTGTTGGAAGTGCCTCGGGAGCAAACCGTACACAATCTCGGTCTGACAGAAGCTCCAGCAAGGACGGCACTTGACGAGTGCTGGGGAACACAAGTGGTGGCTACAACATCCTTCACATCATGCCCGTTCCCTGATGTTTTCCTGGCTGAGTTTGCTTTAGCTTGGCAGGATTCAAGGGCGGAGAGCAGATCTTGGCTATCAATGGCAAGCTGGTCTCGCTGATGTCACCTGGCCAGGTGTCGGGGAGACATGTTGAGAATCCTTGCTGCCTTCCGCCTTCTTGTTTGAGAGACCCTGGCAACTTCTTGCAAAGGCTTCCCTCCAAGTTTATGGAGTGAAGCGGCCTTACCAAGGCCAACTCAGAAACTCTTGGAGGGATTCGCTATGGGGTGGGGCGGGGGGGGGCCTGTGAGGTTCTGGCTTGTTTTTTTTTTTTTTTTAACCCAGGAGCAGCGATGACTTCAAGAAGGCCATGAACGGACGGCCCATCGAGCTCTTTGTAGACTGGACCCAGGCGCCAAAACCGACTTGGGGGGGGGATGGGGCGAGGATGTGAGCAGGGTGCAAGTATTGGTTTGGAGGGTCCCGAATCTTGTTTGCAATCGATTGGAGGTTAGGGGGCAGGGGTATCGGCATTGCTCTTTTTCATGCTGCATGGGCTGCGCTGGTTTGGTCGAAAGATGTGCGCGGCCCTTTGCTGTGAGCGCCCTTGACTCACTCCTAGCTCCTTGCAAGGCGGAGGAGGGGGTGGTGGAGATTGAGATGTTGAGGGTGGGCGAATCTGTGCAGAAGAAGCGTGGCTGAGCAACTGTTTGAGAGCAGCGGTTGGGTTGGACTGGGGTCACTGGTTTGATAGCTCCTCGGGGTTATCAAAGTCAGACACTAAGTTTCCCTGTAACCTACCACTGATTTGGAGTGACTTTGAGAGAAGAGTATTGGGTCTAGTCAGAGGTTAGGGCTGAGACACCTAGTAGCCCGACCTGTGCCGTGTGACGCCGGGTGCTAGTTGTTTCCATGCACGCCCCCCTTCCTGCACAAATTTTGGTAGGCGATAGCGGGCACTAGGGAAGCGAGCAGACTCACGCGGAATGCATCGAGCTAACCCCTATGCAGCAGGTCCGAACACAGCACCAGGGTTCATATTTCCGGCTTCTACCACGTTCAGCTAGTTGGAAAGTGGATGAACTGCTAAGGGTCTTTGTGGCATTTGACAGGGTCCGTCAGCTTCCCTTTTATTCGGACCTCCAGAATCCAGAATCCAGACGCGTGGTGTTTTTTTTCTTGGGGGGCCCTGTTTGGGTGGTTTTATCAAGGGACACCGCCCACCATTCGCGGGGGAATTTCGAGCGTCGCCCGAGGATCGGCCTGGGTTTCGACACCGCGCCCCCGGACCCGGTCTTCGTGAACCGCGTGGCGGCCAATTCCTGGGCGCAGGACGTGGCAGAAAAGTGGATCAGCGAGGCGGTTCCAAAAAGGCGGCAGGTAAGGCAAGGTCCCAACAAGGGGCTTTGACCGTTTTCCTTCCGTTTTTTTTTTGGGGGGAAGAAACTGGAAAATAATTTTGTCCGGGTCTCAAATGAAGATTTCAATCGGGTTTGGCGTAAGAGGGTTTCCTCGGGGTTGGTAGAAGTTGATGCTTTCCTGGCCAACCTCTTGCCTTCAATCATGAGCACATCGGTTGCTAGGGGGGGGGTTCTTTTTTTGAGATCATTCTTTGGTTTCACAAGGAAGCCAAAAGGAAAAATGGCAATCCCTTCTGATGCCTCGCGCCTTGTGTCAGGAGAAGGGCTTCCTGGGGGGCGAGCAGATCCTCGCAGGAGCCTCGGGCAAGCTGTGAGACTTTGTTACTCGAACAGAGCGACGCCGTCCTGGACCAGTGCAGAGCAAGTTTCCCTTGAGGTGCGGTGTTGTTCAAAGGGGACGCACATGGATTCACACATGTTTGGGTTGGAGGGTGGGGCAAGCAGAGCCGTCTTCACGTCCCGAGGCCATCAACGGCCTGCTGGTGTCGAAGATGGACATCGACGATTTTAAGCGTCTTGGCATAGGATGTGTTTGCTCCTCAAAAAGCGGCAGTCAGCAAAGCACATGCTGTAGTAGCCCCTCGCTTGTGAACAGTCCACTCCAACATTGTGAGGCACAACCATGGTCGAGGTTGACATTTGGCTTGAGCCCAGGAAGCAGATGAGAAGCCGGCCGATCGATATCCTGATCGACTGGACTGCAGAGGATGAGACTCTTTGGTGCTTGTCGTTTTGGAAGTGCACATTGGCTGGTCGTTTGAGGTGCCCCCCGGGGAGAAACTGGCAACCTGCAGCCCATGGAGCAAGCGCCCGCCAGGATCCCAGCAAGATGATCGCCACTTTGGAGGCGGACGAGCGCCGCGCATTGATTGAGCAGGTAGCAACTCCCCCCGTATTCCCGGCAGACGCAATCGTATTCCAGCACAGGATGATGGTTCCCTGTCGGCTTCACCTGGTTTTGATAAACCTGGGGTGCCTTGTGGAAGGGAGCCACAAGGCATGGTGCAGAGGGGTCGCTCCATTCCCCTATATCTGAGAACCAGCAAGTCAAGGAAAATCCTGGCCAAAACGGCCTGTTCCAAGGACGGTCAAAGACCTGGGCCTCTTCCTGCCCTTTGCCTCGCCGCTGCTGGTGGCTGCCGTGAAGCCCGACGCCTGGGCTGCCCAGATGCGTCACTCAGCGTGACAGGCCCCGCCTGGTCTGTGGGTTGTTCATTGTAGCGCCAGTTTCGGCTCTTGCAAAGGTCCAAATCAACTCACACTGGTCTTGCACAAAGACGGCAAGGTAAACCATTTCGAGGGACCTTCATGTCCTTGCAATACAGTGCACACACACACACACGGCTGAGAGCTGCTGAAAGTAAGCTCACACGCTCACATTGTGGCAGAATAAAGCTGACATGCAAGGCAGGCTGCCTCCCACAAATACTGCAAGCCGCTGAAAGCGATCAACCCAATCAGCAGCTTCCTTGGGGAAAAGTAGAGATGGTCATCATTGCATGTCGACGAGCATTGCAAGGGTTCCTTTTGAGGCAGCCATGACCCCACGTATTTCTGTGGAATGTTTTGACCGCAAGTGGCTTTGTGAACCCTTGAAACCGCCTGAGGACTGAAAGGCGGCGAAGCGGTTTTGGAGATCAACGGGGTTGCAGCTCCTCGTCAGGGAGACGTTTGGGCCTTCTGGGCTTCGGATGCTGTTCGCGAGCGATCGCCTTGTGGAACCACCTGTGAGATTCTTCCAGTGAGGGGGAGAAAGAAACAACACATGGGGGACATAACGAGGAAAAATAAAATGCCATGAGGGACACTTGGGGAGTTGTTGTCTCCGAATCCTGTCAGCCGTGTGCATGACTGGGATATTTGTCACAGGCAGTGCCACGGATGCTGAATAAACATAGAAGGTCACAGTAGATGCCGGGTGAAGCAAGCTGCACGTGGAGCAGGACTGAGCCAGGTAGGTCATTTCGTTTTGCCAGGGCTTGTGCCATAAAATGAGGTGACGAAGATGACTGCAGATGCTTGGCTGCAACTTGCTGAAGATGGCAACGTTGTGAAAGTGCTGTAGTTTGTGAAAGCGCTCCCCCCTTGCCTGCCCACGCAAGGCTCCAAAGTGGTAGGAGCACTGCCAGTGTGCAGCGTGCGCATGGTTCATGGCCCCCAAGTGCCGATCTGTTGATGGCCCCGCCGATGAGAGATCTTTGAGCAGCAGCATGCGGCAGAACCCTTTAGACAAAGTCAAAGACATTGTCTGGAAGCGGAAGGCAGCTGAGGCCAACACAAGGACACAGTTAACGCGGTTGCACTGAACACCCCGTGTACCTGCATGCCCCCCCTCCAAGCCAGTAGCTGACCTGCGAATTCGGAGATGGCGTGCTGGAAGAAGAGGTGAAGGTGGGACGCGGAGTCAATGAGAAGGAGTAGGTGGTCAGAAGACTCCCCGCTTTCCAGCGGCTGTCTTGGACAAACTATTTTTGTTTGCCACGTTCTGAAAAAGGTGTTTCCATTGATTTGGAAGAGCACCTTGTGGTCTTAGCGTTTGTGCTGTTGATTTCTCACTGGGACTCTTTGGGTGCTGATCCATGCAAGCTGACCAAGTGGCTGGTATGTAAACGTGTGCAGCAAATTGAGAACACTCCTTTTCGTTTGCCTGACTGCAGCCCCAATCGCATTGTTGCTCAAGCTTTGGTGGGACGGGCCGGGTACGGGTCAATTTGTTGTTTGCTCACTTTCTTTGCTTGCAGCAAGTCCTGCTTGTTCCGGTCATGAGTAGGTGATCCGAATACGCGCCAAGATGGTTTGTAGCCCAAGCTCTCTCAGAGGCTGTCTTGGAAAATGCTCTCTGACGAAGGAAATATGTTGAAATTGATCGGGAATTGCATTTGTGATGTTTGTTGCTTTTGGCAACGTGCAGATACATGCAGTCTGACACGATATTCAGTTAGGTCAGTGCCATGGACAGAGCTGACCGCGTGCGCGGCCTGGTCTTGGGCTGTGCCCTGGGCGATGCCGTTGGCCTTTGCACCGAGTTTATGACTGCAACAGAGGCCGCTGCCGCTTATGGCGAACTCCTGAAAGCTCGAGAGGGCAGCAAGACGCCTTGGCTGCAACCTGGAGACGCGGTCCGTGATGGGCACCGCAGCAAGTGGGTCAAAGGCGATTGGACAGACGACACTGACCAGGTGATCCTGATATTGAGGTGCATGTTGCCAGATGGCGCTTTGGAGCTGCGGGCCCCAGATCCCCTAAGCTTTGCGCGGGGCCTGATGGATTGGCACCGGCATGGCTTCCCGGAGCTGGGCGACACGAACGGATGCGGCATGGGGAGGAGCACAGCCCGGGTGCTGGACGAGGCAAATTTTCTGCAGGCGCCGAACCTCGCGGCGAAACAGGCCTGGGACCTGACGGGCCGCTGTGTGGCCCCGAACGGCGCTCTCATGCGTGCACCGGCCACGGGGATACGAGGAAAGCAGCATGCTGCCGCGGACGCCAAGGCCATTGCTGAGGTGACCCACGCCGACCCCAGGTCCACTGCCGCTAGCATTGCTGTTGCGCAGCTGGTGGCCGGCCTGCTGGAAGCTGAAGGCATCGACTCCCTTCTCGCAGCTGCCTGTGCAGTTGCCGAGCAGCATTTGCCGGATGAGGCGGCGTTAGGCCCGTTGCCCGCGCAGCTTTGGGCGTGTGGCGACTGCACCCTGGAGAACGCTCCGACCGCCGAGATTTGCGCCGTGTGCGGCGCCGCCCGGCCTGCAGCCGGCTGTGGCACGGTGAACGCGGGCTTTGGGGACTCCTGGAGCGAGGCGGCGGCGGAGGCCCGGAGCTACCGGCGCCAGGCGGCGGTGGCGGAGCTGCGGGCGGCTTTTTCGGGCCAGGCGCCTGCGGAGGAGGGCATAGGCTACGTGAACACGTGCTTGGCAGCTGCCATGAGCGTTTTCCGCGCCTGGGCACAGCGCAGTCCATCCCCTGACGCGTTCATGGAGGCCATCCATGGTCTGGCCATGGCTGGCGGGGATGCCGACACCAATGGCGCTGTGGCCGGAGCCTTGCTGGGCTGTGCGTGGGGTGCTTCAGCACTTCCGGAGACTTGGCTCCAGCAGATGCCACACCGGGCGTGGCTGGAGCAGATCGCTTCCCGCGTGGCGAAAGCCAAGCCTTGAGGCAGCTGAGCTTCACTAAGCACCACATCTGGCGCGACGTTGTTTACAACGTTGATACCTGTGTGGATACACATGTCCCTCTGGATGTTGCAAAAAGGCGTGCAGGAAGCCAACCTATATCCTTTGCGGGCTCGTGCAATCTGAAAGCAAGTCTTGTCGCAGGCCAAGCGATGCCGCGGCGGCGGGCGGCGCAAGCGGAGTGGGAAAGGCGCCTGGACGAGAAGTTCCCGGAGCAAACGGAGGCGGGGCTTGATTCAGGGGATGGGGCAATCAGTGAAGTTAGACTCGTGGCGGAAGCTCTAAGTTCTGCCCCGTTTTGAACCAGCCCAGAAAGAGTTGCCTAAAAAGAGAGGCTTATGTTGAACTCATTGAACTCCGAGCAGTTATTTCTCAGTGTAAGCGGGGCTTCTTCATTGCAGTGGGACCCCGAGAAATGATGGGGGTTTCACAATCTCGTGTTGACATTTAGATCTTAAACAACTGCGTCTATTAATGGATTTTGTCATACAGGAGATGAATTAAAGATCCCTATTGACTAGACAAGGTGCCGCGAAGTCGCTTAGGTGAGAACATGCGGACACTTGAGTGTGGGCGGTCACTTTTTCAGCAGGAACTCCAGAAGGATCTTTGGGCTACGTTGTCTTGCCTTGTTGGTAGCAGTAACAACGAAGGCAACATATGAAATACACGCCTGAACGCAAAAACAACACGCCTCGTTCAGCCGTGGGTGCTCCTGATCAGCTGGATTTGTTGCTTGGCTGTTTGGCTGGCTGGCTGGTGGGTGGGTGCGTGGGTCGGTGGGTTGCTTCAGTTTGCTGTTGTTCTGTCGTTTTCTCTCACTTCCGGACTTCGGGGGTCGGGCGGGATGGAGCATTCGATGAACTCGTGCACGTGAGCCCGCGCTGACCGCACACTCACAGGGCTCGGTCTGCACTGCCAGGTCCCAGCGCCTCGAGAGCCGAAAGGGAAACCGAAGGCACGGAAGCCGGAGAAAGACGTCGAGCCAAAGCTCCAGGTGGGGTGAGGGTTGGGCTCCCACAAAACCTCCGTTCTCCGAAGGGATTTGGGGCGGAAGGTCCTCCAGTCCCCCGCGTTCTTTGCAGGACCTTCCCGCGCCGCACGCGGCGGACCCGGACCCGGACCCGGACCTTTCGGAGGCTGAGCCGGAGGAAGGCCTCCGCGAGCGGCACCGCGTGGCGGCGGAAGCCTTCGGCCACGAGAGCGTGAGGGAGGCCTACGAGGAGCGCTTCGGCTTCGGTGCGCCAAACGCGTGGGGAAAGCCGTCCCCACATGGCTTCGGTTTTCCTGGTTTCCCATGGTTTCCCTTTAAAACCTACAGAAAAAGAGGTACCCTCACAACACCTGTTTTGAGGGCTACTTGGAGGAATTCTGCAACAAGGTCCGGCCACTCTCCATCCGTGAGTCTGATGATCCGCCTGTGATGCCAGGTTGTAGGGTTGTAACTCTTCTGAGTTGTGCGGTCCAGTGACCAGCAGACTAGCATTTTGGGGATGTTCCGCGGGTTACTCGAGCAACACTTCTATTTGCTGTTTTACTACGGTTTCATTCGGGCCAGCCTTGTGGCAACTCAGGCGGCCTTTCCCCTTGTGCTGGGTTTTGCTGAGAACCTTTCCCATGTGGGGGGTCCATAGGCTTCCTTCCATAAGCCATCAATTTGAAGGTTGGAGGGGGCTGGGGCAGCTTCGGGCGCTGCAGGAGTTGGGTTTTGAACTCTTCTACGAGACCAAGGGCGCGTCCTATGTAAATCCCCACGAAGAAGTTTTGGTAGAGGCGGGGTGCAGAAGGATTGGAGGGGGATGGTGGTTGGAAGATGGGCAAGTTTGGGGGGGGGGGGGGGTGCGGGCTTGGATGTGCTTCGAGAAGATTGGTACCCTCCCATCCACGACCATGGACTGGTCCTTCAAGTGGATCCTCTTGGTCCCTAACAAAAAGACAAACATATAGCATGTTGTTCTCGTTTGTTTTCAAGCGAAGCCAAGGAAACCTGGAATTTGAGACAAACCCATCTGTGGAGGGTGGGTGCGAGAGGGTTCATGAACGATGGAAAGTGCATGGAGCAACGTGTGTTACATGCGTGCTTTGCGGTTTGGGGAACATTGTCCCACAAGCCCTACGTCTTTGTCCCGTGATCTGCTGCACGTAGTTCCCATAGGAGGGTGGGGGAATTGTGTCTGTTTTACTCCCGCCCCCCGTTCCCTCCCCCTGCCGCCCCCCCTGCCCGCGCCCCTTCGCCCCTGCCCCCCAGGCACTGCAGGCGGCCTTTGGCGCCTGGCCCCAGGCCTCCGCTCCGCAGCGCGGCGAAGGCGGCGAAGGCGGCGAAGGCGGCGAAGGCGGCGGCCTCCGGGCGCTGGACTTGGCCTGTGGCAGCGGCGAGGCCACCGAGGCCTTGGAGCACTGCCTGAAAATCCGCGTGGAGGCGGCGGACCCCTATACCTTCGAGGACGTGGCGGGTGTGTGTGTGTGTGTGTGTGTGTGTGTGTGTGTTTTTTTGTTTTTTTTTTTTTTTTGTTGGAAATAAGTAAAACACCATAAATCTTATTAGATTTGTTTCTTTTTTCTTTTCTTTTTTCTTTTATTATTATTATTATTATTATTATTATTATTCATGCTATGTATATTTACATGTTTTGTGTGTGTTTTGTCAGTTGGTTGTTTCTCGGTTCTTTCTTTCTGCCTCGGGAGGCGAAGGGTTGTGGGGACTGCCGCGCATGGTGCCATTGCTGATTTTTGAGACGTATGTTTGAACTCTTTGGAGGAAAAGGGGAGAACTGAACGCTCGTTCCCTGGTTGTTAAAGGGCTTCAGCCTTTTCAGAGGGGTCCCTCTTCTGCCTTCCGCCT